GTCGCTCTCCTTTTTCTTTCGTTCGTGCGCGCACGTGACAATCCTTCCCTCTCGCCGGTCTAAGTCTAAGTCCGCGAAAACCGTTTTCTCTCCCCACTCTCTCGCTACGGCACACGCCTGATCGAGTCTCCTTCTGTCTCTCTCTCTCTTCACTCCTCGCTCGCTCGCCCGCTTGGCCATGCTCGGCCTCGCGCGCGGACAATCTTCCGCGAAAACGGCCCCGGCCGTTATAACATATGATGCCACGATTCATTTGCATCCTTAACAAAATATGCGATTGGTAATGGCAACTTTCCGACTATTTAACATCTATGAATTAGCATTTTTTGCATCGTAGGACATATTCGAGGCTATGGATACGTTTCATAGTAAATTCTATAAGTCTAGCAGCAAAACTCTTATAGTCTCGGGGGAATTAGTATTGGTATACTTTTAAAAGCTTATAAACTTCGACAAATTATTTCTATTAGCCGATGACTTATACCAAGAGCTAGAGCAGATTTTTCATGCTGTTAGAAATACCTTCATGCTAGGTTACCAGTATTTGTAGTTCCATATCCTTGAAGAACTTGATTAACCCGAACCCTCACTACGAACTTCTCAAAAAGTTGTCCTCTTTTTGTATTTTTGCTGCTTTTTATATTCCGCTAAAATAATAAAATTAAGAAATTAATACGTACTAATTAAATAAATCTACGTGGTGTGTTCAAAAAGTAAGGTGACTTTGTATTTCTAAGAAAAAATATTTATTTATTTATCAATATTTATGTTGTCTCCTTCAAAGTAATCCCCCTCAGATACAATACACTTATGCCAACGGTTTTTCCAATCCTCAAAGCACTTCTCATAAGCACTTTTCGGTATAGCCTTGAGCTCTTCCAGCGATGCAGTCTTTATCTCTTCAATCGTTGCAAATCTCCGTCGTTTTATGAGTCTCTTTAGTTTTGGGAACAAGAAAAAGTCACATGGGGTCAAATCCGGTGAATATGGTGGCTGAGGCATGATTGTGGTATTGTTTTTGGTCAAAAAATCTCTCACAAGCAAAGATGAGTGAGCAGGGGCATTATCGTGATGCAAAAGCCATGAATTGTTTTTCCACAATTCTAGGCGTTTTCTTCGTATTGCTTCTCGCAAACGGCGCATAACTTCAAGATAATACTGTTTATTGACCGTACGTCCATATGGTAAGAACTCCTGATGCACCACGCCATGGTAATCGAAGAAAACAGTGAGCAAAACTTTGACATTTGATCGAACTTGGCATGCTTTTCTCGGTCTTGGCTCATCTGGGCTCTTCCATTGGGACGATTGGACTTTGGTTTCGATATCATAACCATATACCCATGATTCGTCACCAGTTATGACCCTTCTGAGTAAATCTGGGTCGTCGGTAACGTCATTCAACAGTTCTTGAGCGATGCTCATGCGACGGTTCTTTTGGTCAAAATTTAGCAATTTCGGAACAAACTTCGCTGACACACGTCTCATGCCCAAAACGTTAGAAAAAATTTCATGGCACGAGCCAAGCGATATACCAACATCCTCAGAAACTTCTCTGATAGTGATTCCACGATTTTCCAGAACAATTTTCTTCACTGCTTGAACGTTTTCATCAGTTGTTGACGTGCTTGGGCGTCCAGAGCGAGGCTCGTCATTGGCATCTTCTCGGCCATCTTGGAAGAGTTTGTACCACTTGTAAACATTTTTTTTACTCAGAACAATTTCACCGTATGCCACCGTCAACATTTCAAGTGTTTCGGAGCACTTTATTTTATTTTTTACACAAAATGTGATGCAAATCCTTTGAACCATATTTTTCGATAGCATGAAATCGCCGAGCACGCAAAACACTTATAAGCTTTACGCCTCTCACAACCAAACAAAAAATTCTATACACTTGAAACTTGGTACAGATGTTCGGGAAGAGTGTACCAACATAACAAAACAAAAAAATCGATAATCGAAAGTACGTTGCCCGTGAAATTTGAAAAGTCACCTTACTTTTTGAACACACCTCGTATATTTAATAATTAGAGATTCAAACTCACTACACTTGCTTTTGATTATATCTTACGAATCTACTTGAAAATTTCGATAGGAAAATCTCTGAATGTGTTCGAATATGTTGATTTCGCAGTGCAGTAGATCTAATCCATATCGCACAGCTGAATCTGGTTTGAAAATTGCATAGTTAAAATTTTTAAAACTATGTGCTATTACTTCACATATAGGAAATCTGGAACTCGCTTTATTGCCAATATTGTGTTTAGCTATTTACCATCAAATAAGGTTTTGCATGAAATGCACTTTTACAAGCTTTTTGTTTGACAGCTCAAATGTATGAGAAATTTAATTCCCTTTGACAAATATCTGTATTCTCGAATAGAGGTTGTATCATTTTTTTTTCAAGTGCAAATCGTCGTGGTCGAAAAAATCTGACACTTTAAGGAGTTAGATTGATCAAGTTTAAACCTCCAGGTCTAGAGCTGGTTAACGATATCATAATGACTGATGTTACAAATAATGATTGTTGAGGATTAACATTTTTATTACTACTATTCGCATATTTATGGTGAAGATTTCCGTGCCTAAAGGAACCATTGGAACCTAGAGTTGTTGCCAGTAATAAACAATTCAAATCTTTTTCACACCATTCCAGAACCTTACTTTCACACCACTTTTCTACAGATTCATTAAGCATATCTTGAAGCGAAACTACAATTTCTATTTCAGATTTTTTATAAATTTTTGGTAAAGGCTTCTCCATAATCTCCCTTACTATTTTATATACAGGATAAATGTTACAATTTCTGGACGTTCTGTCCCAAATTAAATCTTCATATCTATTTTAAGTGTAATTCTTTTCAAGATAAAAAATTGCTGCACTTTAACCGGTATGGCGATTCATACTCAAATTATCTTCAAGTGGTTCTTCATTTAAACTTAAATTTTCATCTTTATTATGACACAGTGTAGCTGCTAATTGTAGATAATACATCGCACAACATAGACCTAATTACCCTTCCGGTGCTAATTACCCTTCTTCAAAGGTCTTAGCTGGTGCCTAACAAAAACTAATCCGAAAGCAGGTCGATGACGTCACTGGTGACCGAGGGGTGCAAGGAAAAATATGTACGCGCATTTTTTTTTAAGAATACCCCGAGACCACAATCAGATGAAAATAGTCAAGGAACATCTGTTTCGGATGATAGCTGGAGTGTAGCATAAAACGTATATGGAAATTAGAACACAGGGAAAAACACAAGTCCAGCAATCTCCCTGACATCGTCATCAAATGAGCATAGCAGTATTAAATATTGGACACTTATGCCAGTGCATATAATACTACAAGTAAAAAGTAGTGAGGCAAGACAGTTGTAAACGCAACAAACTAAGTTTTTAAATTAACCGAAATATATAAAAATTGAGGAGCAGCTGGAAAATGGTCAGGAGGAACAAAACAATCTATCTAACATCTATTGAAGCAGTGGAAAATAATAGTAGGTAAAGACGACAGATACAAAAACTTTTGAACCGCTGACTATAAGGATGGAATGAACGAACGATGAGGACTTGCAAATAACATACATAGAAGCGAGATAGCTGATTTAGCTCCGGCGAAGTCGTTCTTGAAACAACTAACGACAGTCAGAAAGGAAAATGCATGAAAAAATGACATTCTAACAGGAACTCGAAATGAAACTCAAGTAGGATAACACAGGCCAATAAAATTTTACAAAAGTTAAAAACCTGAAACCATACATAGAATGATTAATAGATTTTCATGCTCTGATTCCAAATCCGGGTTAAAAATTGCTCTATCACCCTTGAATTTCCAGATATCTTAACCTAAAAGCGTCAAAAACACGCTTTTTTCTGCGCAATTTTGACTACAGTTTCCAAAAGAGCAACTCGTGGGCTACAAAAAGCACTATTCAAAATTAATTTTATAATTCTACGGAGATATGGTCGTTTGAAAAGTGTTGGATTTGAACATTTTAGTACAGGCTTATAATAACACGAAACTCAATATTCACTTTCCATACATATAAATGCACAGAAGTACGAGAGTCCGTGTATAAAACAGTATTCAATCTGCTGAAATTCCATAACCTCAAACTCGATATTTCCTAAGCCAATGGGAATTCTCATGTCATTTTTCGAGTAATCCTCAAACTAGTACATTTCACGAAATCATATCAAGCCAATGCCCAGTCAGGCACTGCTCGTCGAGTTTCGAGAGCATGGTAAATATTGAGTTTCGTGTTATTATAAACCTATAGTAGAATGTTCAGATCCAACAGTTTTCAAACAACCATATCTCCGTTAAAAATATTATAAAATTAATTTTGAATAGTGGTTTTTGTAGCCCAAAAGTTGCTCTTTTAAGAACTGTAGTCAAAATTGCGTAGAAAAAATCCTTCATCAAATAGGTGGTCAAATATAGCAAAAAAAGCGTGTTTTTGACGCTTTTAGATAAGGATATCTGGAAAATCAAGGATGATAGAGCAATTTTTAACCCGGATTTGGAATCAGGGCATGAAAAACTATTAAGTCTACTATGTCTGGTTTCAGGTTGTTAAAATTATTGGCCTGTGTAATTATTTGAAAAATATGGAAGCAGCCACCTCTCTCTTAAAAATCATGGATAGAAAGTTGAATATGACAGATAATGGTATTCTTTCTAAAAAAGCTTAGTAACATAAGTAAGGTGGATCCATTTAATTACTGATATTAAGAGAGTTTAATACAATTGGAAAGTATAATTTAAAGTCATAAGTCTTTGGTGAATTGTGCTATTTAACTGTTTCTCTTCAATTTTCCATCGCTTCATATCTTAAGAAAAAAGATCGCGTAAAATAGTCGAGAATATATGCATGTAGATCCCAGAACTAGGAATATATCATATTTACAGAATTATTCTTGAAATAAATTAAAAAATTTTGAAACATTAAAATTATATTGTGTTTTTTTGTTTTAATATAAATATAATATATTACCTGTAATTTGTGATGAAGTAATTTTAACGTTGTTTGCATTGCAACAAGGTGATGGAAAAGATTTGAACGTTGGTATGTTTATCATACAAGAATATATTGTTGAATTTGAAATGGGCATGAATTCAATATTTTCTCGTTCTTCTATCGGAATGTTTTTATATAAATTGGAAGCTGTCGATCCATTTAAAAAAGAAACATATTTATTGGGACTTATGTTGTGGTCAGTGGTAGCACCAGATGTTAAGTGTATCAATGGATTATCGATTATCGAATTATTTTTTGATTTGGCTATAGAGATATCAATCAGTTTACAATTATTGCCAAAATCATCTGAATTAAATTCATCTACCAAGTTTCCACATTTCGATATTCGCTGGTTACACCTAGAAATTGATAAGTAATTTGGTGGTTGAATAAAGCTTCAATTATAACATCGATTAACTTGTGACATTATTAACTGTACAGTTATGGTCAATTAACATTGATTCTTAATATTTAAATAAGGAGGTTAGTGAATCTTAACGTTAAGCATTAATAGCTTTTCATATTAGGATAAAATTTGTTCCTGCATAGATATTGTGAAAATTTTTGATTTTGTATAAAAGAACTCCGGAAGACTTCTATTAATATTTTTTACATTTGAAAATCTCAGTACTGCATCTTATTAAATAAATATTTTGTACTGGTTGGAGAGAGGCAAATAGGCCGGAGATTATGACTCAGATTGATATATTATGTACTAAAAGCATAAACGAAGCTTTTATCTTAAAACTTTTTCATGTATACAATACTATACTCTTTGATGCGATCTTCTCTATTCAAAATTATAAAATTATGAAAATTGATTATATTAGACAACGAGACGACCAACTAAGTAATAAAAAACTTTTCTTTTCCATTCGGTTATCTCTCTATTGCACCTTGCCATCCCACGTCCTTTCATACATTACTTTAATTATTTTTTCTTTTATCTGTCTCTTCACTCTTTCCCCAATTTTAACGTCAATAACTTTTCGTATATAGTATGTTTACTGAGCTTGCATTTATAATTTGCGAAAGTCTTGGTATTTACAACATTAATGTGACTAACAACAATAATAACAACAGAAACAATATATAGAAATAGTACAGAAAATATACATACTATAGCTCCGATATCTAGTGGACCGATTTTTATTTATTTAAGGTCATCATATAAATTACAATGTATCAATATATATTGTAACGGGGTGTAACCGTTTAATTGTTATATTCGCGCGATTATATTAAAAGGACACGCGTAATTGCCAATGCTCACTACTTATCCGGGAGAGCACGAGAAAGTATGCGTCAGTCAACCACTAATCGTTAATAACCTATACTAAAATGGGAGTGAGTGGAAGCTATAAGATATGAGAGATTCAAAGAAAACACTTGTTAGTAATATAAATTGGATCTTTTATTATCCCTCAAAATCTACAAAAGGTCGGCCCGCGCGTTTGTTTACATGAACGCTCGCTCGTCGACAACACGCTTTGCCGGTACGCTCGCTGCTCTTTGTTAAAAGAGACGTCGTTACATGTACGCAATTACGTTATTCATTAATTAGATAATCGCGATCGCGAGATTAAGCTGGCCAGCTTACCTTATACTTGCAGGCGATCGGAGAAGTCACAAATACCTCGCACAGAGCGGAACTGTTTTTATTGTTTCTTACGCGGCTCGCGAATGCGCGCACGGAGTGGTTTCGCCCTCGATGGCGAAACCTCACACACACACACACACTGCTTGGCCTTCAGCTGGTGTCCGGATGGCTCCTTGGAGGCAGCTGTCACGGCTATCTGGCACTCTCGGTTATTTGTTGATCTGGCGTATCGTTGATAAGGGCACGTGAATTCATCGATGCGGTAGCGTAAGGACGGACGGACGGACGGACGGACACTATGATGGTCGGTGCTTCACTGGTTCAAATTCGGTCGCGCGCGTTCCGTCTGCTCGCGTGCCAAATTCCTTCGTTACCTATTCTGTCCCCCCGGCAGGTGCTGCTCTCACAGGCAGCAATTAAGCTAAATAGTCAGCGCTAATTTGACGTTTACCGTCACAATATATATTTTTTTTCTTTGTTGAAATCATAAATGATTCATGATATCACAACAAAAATCCTTCAATCTAACATAACATACAATAGTTATAATAAAAAACGTGAACAAATTTATAATTGATAAAATCGAAATGTTATCTTTTCCATATACTCGTAGTCGTAGTGAGACCTTGTATTTCAATTGATAACGCACAATACGGCAAAATGAATCATTTGGGCACCAGGCATTGATAATTGAAATATTAAAAATTATATCACATAGGAGTAATGCCATTCCGAATCTTATCGGACATATTTACTTTTGTCGCTGTCCTAGAATAATAAGATTTTTGTTAGGCGATTTTTCACTAAAGATTAAGAAAAAATATATGTAGGTTCAAAATATCGTCGAGCGTGATTATAACTATCTTGCAACGCAAATACAATTGTTAGGCGCTACCGCGCATACGGCAAACTAAACTTAATTCGCTCGTAGTATCGACAGAAGTATAATAAAATAAGCAAAGGAAATGAAGCAAAGTAATCTACACGGCAAAATTTATAGCGTAGATGGAATCACGTCTTTTATGGAAAAGTCGGCGAAACTAAAGGCAAGTCAGTGAACAAATCATTTAGTTTGTAACGGGGAGAAGGAGACGGAAAAATTATTTGGTTTTTCTTCCGAACTCAACTGCCACCAGCGGTGCAGTTAGCCAATCGTTGCAGCTTGATTTTGATGGGCGCTAGTTACCGTCCTCGCGTTAGGAGGGCGGGTAGTTCTGCAGGGCGGCTGGTTCTGGTCGCTGTATGTCGGGTCCCTGATTTTCTTCTCCTCGCACTAGTCTTGTTGGCTACCTATAAATGTATAAAGGGGCGCGAAGACCTATCTTACGTGCGAAGAGAAGTGTGGACGGCGCCTAGTCAAAGTTGTCGGGCAGGAACTCTTCAGGAGCGAGTCTTCGGAGCGGCGTCTCAAGATGCCATATCAGCAGTGCGGGGACGGTGAAGAGTGGTAAGGGGCTTGATCTCTCGCGCACACAAAATGGCGTGGCAGCGTCGACGCACTAGCCGATTTCGCGTAATCCGATCGCGTTAGCTACAGGGGAATGCAGAATCTCAAGGCAAGGTTAAGTCAAAGATAACACTAATTTACGGATATTATTATTTATTACTAGTCGTGATCGGTCTCCCCCGGACAGCCTGAGGTTGATTCTCCGGTTGGCGGCAGTGTCTACCCATGACAGTCTACTTAATGTCCAGATTCTACTGCGAATTCCGCGAGTAGCGCACTACGACGCGATCGCGATCTAGGTTCGCGGCGAGCGTGGCTCGGGTCGGAAATCGATCGGGAAGCAAAAGGAATTGAAAGAAAATTAAGATGAACGATGGCCACGGAAAGGTCTTGCGCACTCCCGTTCATTCGCGGGTCATCGACGGTATTGCGAAAGTCAGGCGGCATTATGATCGGTTGGCAGCGGTCTCGGTTACGGATAGACACGAAACGAAAAGAAAAGGAAGGAGGGTAGTCACTCTCTATTTCTGCAGCTCCTTTGACTTGCACCTTATAAGTGGCTCTCGTGTTAAGGCTTCTACTACTCCGGTACTGTTTTTCTCATGACTCGGATCTCACTTGTTCACGGCTCGGATACTACACTCACGGCTGTTAAGGTCTCTCACTTTCTGCTGTGACAAGAGCAAGCGTTACGATTGTGTTGCGAAGCCGAGCCGGCCCGAAGCTGTTACGCTGGCGACAGAGTATAGAAGTGTTAGAAAGAGAGAGAGAGAGAGTTGGAGGCGTGCGTGCCTTATGCAAGGTTAGGCAGGCGCGCGTCGCGAACCAATTAGCGCATTGGTGGCGCGCCGCCTAATAAGTAAGTCAAGTGGGAAGAGAAAAAGAACGAGGAAGAAGCTGTCGATCGCTGGAGAGAAAATGAGAGACACAGACGGTAGTGAGTCGAGAGCAGAGTCAGAATGTTCCCAGTCGATCAGACGGTCAGCGGTAAAAGTCGGAAAGTGCAGTGGAAGACAAAGGGTCAGCCGAATGCACCCGCCGCCAAGCGTCGAGGAGAAACTAGAGGACAGAGGACGACTGCCTTGTTCCAACATTTGCTCGGAACGCTACCCGGAGAAGCCGGCAGGAATCGCCCAGCGACGGTCAGCAACATCGTGCGCAAGGCGCAGCCAGGCCTCCCGTTCCAGTATCGAAGCTGAAGTCTCGCAAGTTAATTTCTCTCTCTCTCTCTCTCTCCCTCTCTCTCTCTCTTCAACGATATGACACAGCGCGTAATTGTAAACGTTAGGTAGGTAGCAAGGCGTGCACACGCCGGCTACCTGCTCTAATTACGGTCAGCTTCATAAATCGTTCAAATAGAAATCGTCCAGGCGATCCCCCGCCGGGCGACTTTCTCTTTTAGTTAAGTAGCCTAAGTCCGTTCGTCGTCAAAGCGGTCATCTGCTAGACGACGTGCGTTGTGTTTCGTATAGATTTGTAGGAGCGATTAGTTAGTTAACATGTTCTTTGTTCCCTATTGTTCTATAATGTTAAGACGTGTCAGCAACACCATTGTGTTCCTTAGATTAAGAGTTTGTAAAAGTTGATTTTAAGAGTTCGTATCATTATGCGGTTTGTTAATGTGCGGTATTTGCAAAATTTAAGTGTAATTTGACTTTGATTTGATTGGAATTAGATTTGTTTAAATGCGAATTTGTGTTTTGTGTATAATTCCTTAACTACTTTCATTTCTTCGCCTTTCCACCCTTCCCGCCTCGATTGCTATGAGCGAGTGCGCCTCACCACCAAAAATAAATTGATAACAAACGAGCTTTCGTTACACTGCTAATTCTGATACTCCGATCCCACCTTATTCACGGCTTCAGAACTACTGTCGCGGCTTGTGCGGCATCGCGTCACTTCTCCTCGATTACCTCCCCTTACGGTTGTGGGTTTTTATCTCATTGGTCCAAATTATTGTCAAGTCCATTATCAGCGCCGTCTATAATAATCTTTTAGCCCGCGCAATTTTATTACTGGTCGGGTTTTGGCGTCTAATTTCCTTATTTGTCAGTTAAGTAGCGTCGGTTTTTCCCTATTCGTCAATATACCCCTATCCTATTTGTCAATGGTCGGTCTAGTCGCACGTGTTGGTTAGTTTCGCGGCGTTATCACCTATCCTCTACGCGCATCCGCTCGTTACCTCAGCTGATCGCCCCTACGTGAGTATTGGTATTGTCTATCTCGCTTACACGCGCGCTCTACGCTATTCCCCCGCTCGCGCCAGATCGCCCTCCTATCGGTCATCTTACTTGCACTCATATGCTCCGTTG